TAAAGAGAAATAAATAATAAATGTAAATGTAATCAATCAGTTAAGGGAAAATAAATTGTACTCTTTGGGCAGTGAAAAAATTGATATCTTAACACTGGAAGGATAAACACTCGTCTCCTATAATACAATGGATTGAGCCCTTTTCACTGCTTTCAGTTTCTGAATTGGTATCCAACATTGACTAGATATTTATTTGGACATTTGTCTTCTCTTGAGATCTATGTATAATTGCTAGCAAGCTGTATGCATTTCATACAAAACCTCATACAAATTTTTAAAGGAAATTTTTAAAAATCTGGTCCCTATGGGTAGCACATTGGAGATTCTCACTTCAATCGGTTAACTACTCCTTGAAGGTCCCTCTTTCTAGTCTTGGCCTAACTTTTAGATTGTCCTTCTTATTGCTTTTTAACTGGTTGCTATATAAAGGATTAAGAAGGGATAATGACAAGGACACTGTGACTAGTTGGTGGGTTCATTTTTCTGCCCAGAAATGCTGGAAAGCATTTTCGCACCAAGCTGTGCAAATTTTAAAAAGTGGGAATTAGTCCTTAGTTACTATCTAGGGGGCCGGCAAGTTGGCAAAGGGTGTGCAGAGAAGCATTTCTGTTCCATTAGGGCTGTTTTCATCCTTTGCTAGCAAATTCAAGCAAAGAAGAAAAAAATGCCACTATGTGCTTTAAAGGGGTAAAAGATAAATCAGGGCTGATTTCTCCTCTGCCCAGATCGTTTAAGCTACCTCTTCATTTGACCTTTTCGCAGTCAGCACCCAAATTTGCTGCGCTCATCATAACTGCAAAGCAAGTAGTTCTCACTGTGGGGAGACAAGGATGCTTTTTGGCTGGCAAATGAAACTGAAAAGTGACAGAAGGGAAAGTCCAAAGGTAGACAACTCGGCTGAAACGGAAACTGAAATGCAAAGCAAAGGAAAGTCAAAGGGATGAATTTTAGCATACAGGGTTTTAAAATTTAGCTCTTCAAGGCTTCTGTTACAATACAGGGTATTTCTTTCTTTCAGGAGTAGGTATTTGCCTTATTCACTAATTCCATACATACTGAGAGCCTGCGTGGAGTGTTGCGCTTAAAGTGTTGGATGGGAAACTCAGGAGATCCACATGCTAGTCCCCACTCAGCCGTGGAGCCAACTGAGTGACTTTGGGCCAGTTATTCACTCTCAGCCTAACCTACCTTACAAGGTTGTTGTTGTGAGGAAAAATGCAGCTATTATGTATGCTTCCTTGGGTCCCTAACAAGAGGGAATAAAGCTGGAATATGAATGCAATGCAATATACTTTTTTTTGAGAAGGTCCTATGCTTAACTCATATTTTTAAAATAAGCTGCCATTCTTTAAAGGAAGGCTGTCATTATCTGTCATTTACAAATTTAAAAGACAGCACCCCTCCCCCAAAATATGGGAGCTTGGACAAAGCAATTAGGCAGGAAGATGCAATTCTGGTACCTCTTCATTTTGCACCCCAACAATGTTTCATTCTTTTGGTGCTTTATTTCCCATGAAATACTGGCTAACTTGTCTGATTATATGTCTAGCTTTCTTTTGAAATCTATTGGGTTTTTAAAAATATATTTACATAAATATCTCTGCATTTGGAGATATGTAGAGAACCTGAAGCAGTAGCCTAACTTTCTACTTTTCCACAATGACAGCTCTGTATTTATTTATTTATTTATTAAAACATTTTTATGCCGCCCCATTCGCCGAAGCCTCGGGGCGGCTTACAACAATAAATATAAACATTAAAAATCCAAAAAATACAATATAAAATAAGCCGCCCTGGCCAGATAAAATCAGTTAATACTAACAGTTAAAATACCGCTTAAATAAAAAGGTTTCCGCCTGGCGCCGTCGTTATTTGCTTTTCGGCGCCAGGCGAAAACC